TTCACAGGTCGAAGGGTTTGCATAACACTAGACACCCGCTGTGCCACCAAACAGTCCGAAACAATCACACGCCGCCCAATGCAACCTTCACAAACTAGCCCTAAATCCTGAACAGCAACGACCCTACCAGTACACTCCAAAACTGGCTCCACATGTTAAGCAGCCCAAAGTCTTGGGACACATCTCAAACGAGCCTCAGGCAGCCCTAAACAATGGGCCCCAACCTTTCAAAAGTGAAAAGAACCTCCTCATCCAAATCCCCTTCAGGTCAAACATCGCATCAGGTTTTTGAGGCAATCTTACGGACCCCGGTGTTCGAGCACGCTGCCAATCGCTGGCAGCCTAGTCGCCGTTGTGGCTTTCGGGACCCTGGCCGGGATTGTCACAGGGACGGGCGGACTCGGACGAGCTGTTGCGACGTAATCGATCCAAAATCCGCAGTGTTTCTGATCGTCCTTCCAGCTCTTCACGGCTCTTCACTGTGAGGCGCTACAGCCAAGGCAATTCCTCTCAAAGCTCGCTCATAGTGCCAATAACACGCGCATAAACCCTCCTTCCCGCCTAGATTGACTTTCCATTATTAGACTCCACCGCGCGGGATGGGGATTCCGGGGATTCTTTCCGTTTAACTGTTACGTGCTTTGTCTCCGGACAAGGTTGACAATACCAAGGGCGTGACTAATCCGCACAAGCAAGAGAACATTAAGCGGGCCGATTGCGTCGAATTCTGGTGTTCTTTGGGGGGCTTGGGGCCTGGCCTGAGCACCTTTGGCTTTCGACTGCGCCCGAAACGTCGCCGATCTCTCGAATCTGCTCAAGCTCAATTTTTGTCGAGCGCTTGATTTTTTTTGGCCAGGTGGAAATTTGTGTTGGTAAATGTGGTGTGTTGTGCGTTGTTTTTTTTTTTCCTTCGCTTGAGCGCCCTCTCTCAGTGGCATGTTGCAAGTACTTTCGCCCAAGATGCTTCACATTGTCAATGAGCATCTCTTGGGGACGATACCTGCCTCTTTGCTTGTGTTTCGTGCCGGGGGTTTCTGTTGGGACTCTTTGGCACAGCTGCGCTGCGTGAGGTGCTTGAGAAGGCGAAGGCTCATATTAGTTGGAGTCTTTGGTGTGTATGCGTGGTCGTGTATGCGCCATCTTGCTGTTTCACGCAGTGGGCATGCGCTTTGACTTTTGATATGCAATTCCGCAGTATGGTGATGATTCTGATGGATGTTTGCCGAGGCGGCCCCTAGCAACAAACAGGTGCCTGATTTGGCATGTGCTTCCTGCTGCTTCATACCTTATACCAGTTACCAGCGTGAGATCCAAACATGGCACAAAATGCCGCAGCCGTGCTTCAACTGCTCCATGCCTCCGTGCCCCAGTTGTGCAAGATTGTTTGCTCTGACATTTTTACGCTGCCATGCTGGGAGCATGAAATCAAGAAGCGGGGCAGACCTGTGGAAAAATTTTGTTCTCCAGGAGACACTGGGCAGAAACCCAAAACAGCATCCCATGTCTGCTTGATGATTAGCTGGCTGCTTGCAGCTGTTCTATCCAATCATGTCAAAAGAGGCCGTCCGGATTGACGAAGACATTCCTCAAGTATCGATGCACCGATCCTGGAGCGACGGCGATCTCGCTCAGCTCTGTGAGGCATTTTCTTCAGGGCACTTGCTTGTTAGCACTGCAGCAGTTGAAGTGCAGTCCTGCCAACGACCACCAAAGCTACTACTTCTGAAGCATGTTTCTGCTTCTTCTCTTGCTTGGTGAATGATCTGCTGCTGCACCGCAAGCCTTTTCAGTTTGATCTTGCAGGCCCTCGAGAGTGACTCGGACGCGGAGTCTCAATAGCCCTGAACCATACGCCGGCGCGCGCTGGCATTTAGGATCACTTACGCATGTACCGTGCTATGTACAGCAATGCAGTGCCAAGCTGCAGTCTGGTCTTGTATGGCGGTACGTATCCGTGGATGGTCGTGACAGAGGTTTGTTCTGGAGTCCAGATGTTTTCCGATTTTTAAAGACTGCAGATTTCTCCAGGCACAGCTTTATAGCTTTGGACCGGCTGTTTAAACTTGCCGAGAAGCAACTTAGGTTTTGGATTTGGAAGGTATGCAGCCGGGAAGCTGTGTCAAGATGTGTTTCGGACTCTCTTTTAAATGTCGCATCATGGGCTGACCTGAGCCTTAGGTGGATGCAGGAGAGTCAAGGATTTACTGAATTTTCCGGTAGAGGTTTCGGGCCGGATGAACAGCCAGGCTTGGGAGGAGGAAACTTGTCAATGGCATTCTCAAACTTCAGCACGTGGCTGCATTGGCTCCCCCTACTCATTTTTGGCAGCGCCCAGGAATTTTTAAAGGCGCTCGCATGAGCCTTTGAGGTTCGCAAAGAGCGCCCTTTCAAAGACATGTCCTTGCCATGTTTTGGCAGGCCAGCGAAGCAGCGCAGAGTCTGGGCAGGTGGACTTCGCGTGTGTAGAGCACGCATTGCGGAGTTGCCCTGGAAACGTGTGCAGACGAGTGACTAGGTGTAGCAAGCTGGTTTCCTTGGTTTCTTTGGATTCAGATTCGATGCGCATTCAGTGGAGCTGCAGTCACGATGATGACAGCAAAGCCGACGTAGCGTAGCGCGGCGAGCGCACGCTTCAGCTTCATCGACAAGCCCCCCAGCAGGGATGGAAAGTACGCTACCTTGAGCTAGTTGGACAAACAAAGTGCTCAGCTGTCAGCCTGGTGTTGCTGATTGATGCCGATTGGTGCGCCAATGTGCTTGACCTCATTAATTAAGCTATCGCAGAACCTCGCTAAATGCTTGTCGTTGCAGATCCTTTTGTTGGCTGGAGGCCTGACGCAAGAGTAGTGCGTTCGTTGTATTTCAGCATCCCTCCCATACTTAGCTTCCACGAAAGTCTCAACCCCATGACTGGTTCAGTTCAGGCCTGTATTGCAAATACCTGGTGTAGCTGTTCCTTTCAAGCAAAGCAATGGGCTGGGTCCTGAGGATGCTAAACGGCAATCTCTGAGCTTTGCAGACATGTTCCTTGAGCTTTGGGGGGAACAGATGCTGGCCATGACGAGTTGATAGATCCTTCTAGCCTGGTTGCTGTCGAGGCCAAAGTTGTGCCCACCTTGATCGCGACTGCCCCAAAGTTTCTTTGACGCGTTTCGGGGGCCTGTGCTCCAAGCAAGTGGCTTTTGCCTAGATCCGTTGGATTCTATTCAGAATGCTTGCACAGAATCGACTTCGAGGAGTGCAGCTCCAACAAAAGCTGCTACGTTGACCAGAATGAGCTGAAGGCCGGAGTCCGTGTTTCGTTTTGCTGCTTCAACTTCGGGCTCATTTCTGATCTGACAGTTCGGCCCAGCCGTTGGTCACTGGCAGAGCGGCAGATCCAAAAGCAACCTGCTCAGAGCCTTCCCCGCCTCTCAACATCTCGCAGCGATTCGCAGCGTTTATTTGCAAAGCTTGGTTGGCAGACTCACAGGTGCAATGCCAAGGTCCTCCAGGCAGGAAGATCCCAGCAGCAATTGTTGCTTGCTATGCAAATGTGTTCGTTTGAGGTCCACTGCAGCAACCTCTTCTTGCAGCCTGTGGCAAGGAGCGTGTCTGCGATTGGATGTTCACTTTCTTGCGCGCCTGTCAGCACAAGCAGATACAAGCAGGCAGGAGATTGTCTCCCGAGTCAGCCTCGGACTTATCGGAAGCGGCAGGGGAGATTGGCGAGTCTCTTGAAAGCGACCAGGCTTGGCTTGTTGGGTTTAGCATGGAGGTCACGTGGACCGATGGTCTTGGCCGACGAATGCCAGCAGGCGACTCTTGTGCTGCAGTAGTTGAAGTATATCGTTCCGACGAGGTCGCTGGCAATTAACGCCGAAGGCGGAAAGTTCAGCTCTCCCAACTGGGCAGCGTCCGTGCAAGTGTCCCTGCTTAGAGGCATCCTCCTTCGCTGGGCCAGCTCTGGAAGGTCAAGCAGGTCTGCCACAGGCAGGTCTCTGGCTCTTGCCTCTGCCATCCTCGATTTTTTTTGAGCACATGTCGCGCTGGGAGTGCCAGCGATGATCAATTCATACGAACAGGTCGGACGGGTCCTGAACTACGAACCTGGCTTTGCTGCAGCGCTTGTGAGATGAGAGTCTCAAAAAAGCTCAGGGCGGTGCCTCGAATTGCAAAGCAAGCGGTAAAGGAGAGCCTGACACTCTGGAGGGGACCTATTGCATACAGCCACTTCCGCCATTTTTTTGTTGAGTGTCTGAGGGCACGAAGCATTCCCTGTGCCCTCGGCAACATGCCTTTGTGCAAAGCTCCACCAGCTTTCATCTTCTCAGATGTGTGCAGTAGTGCTGCTGATGGCGGTCATGATTTGCCTTTGGTGATCGCTGCACCTTGCAGTATTTTACTACAATTTTCCGACACATTTGATTTTTCAGCGTACTTCGATGTACTTTGATGCCAGGAGGGTGAACCTGTGTATCTAGCACAAGCGCCAAGCAGTGAACAAGGACAATCGTTGCATCTCGCCAAGTTGATCCCGGCAAGCTTCGTTTAAGCAGGATGCGCAAGGAGAGCCAGCCATCTCTCCAAGAACTTCCTGCATCCTAATGTAGCATCTGCGCTCAGGACCTAATCATATTATCCTATTGTGCGCAAAAAACCATGGCAAGCAAGAGTTTAGAGCGCCGGACGTGCTCACATTCTCTTCGAAGGCTTCCTTGCATGGAACTGGAAGAAGTTTGAGTCACCAAGCCCATCAGCCAACCAACCTTGCATGAGCCCCTCGCCATGCGGCTGGCATAGCCTTCTCTTCTGGTTTGCCATCACGGCTCTTCACCTTTTCAAGGCCGAGGAAGACCTGCTCAACTAGATCATGGGCTGCATGATGTGCATTGCTCTTCCGTTTGCCTGCAGTCCAAAAGAAGTGATCACAACACAAGACCTGTCCTGTTGACTGACTTCAGTCAAGATTGGCAAGTAACTCGTAGCAACATGTAGGAACTGCGACATTTGACAAGGAGATGCAGCTTCTTGCAATCCTTCCACCGGCACTGCCAGCTGATGGCCAAGACGAGCCAAGCACACAAGGACTCTTGCTGTCGGTCCATGTGAGGACCAAAGACGGGGTCTGCGAGCAGCTGCTGGCGCGAGGATCTGAGCTGCCTGCAGAGACCAAAAAAGTCCTTACCACCACTCAGGACGATCAGGCAGCATAAGCATTCAAAATTCCTCATGATCAAGCAAAGGGGCAAGCAAGGGGACAAAACACATCAAAACAAGCTTGTCGAAGAGACTGGCAGTATTTCTTCCTGAAGCTATAATGAGCTATTGTATCACCAAGGCTCAACGCCAGAGAGGTAAGACCGGGCAAACCCCTTCAGCCAGAAACGCCTGAAAGACAAGACCACTCATAGTTCACAAGTTCACAAGTTCACAGGTGTACATGGCTTTGGTTCAACGGGTCCCTTGCTCCACAGGCTGCCGCTCGGATTGAGCTGTACGCCGGGGAGCGACCTTTCTGCGAAGGCAATCGCTTCTTGGGAATGCTCGAGCTGGCTCCCCTACCGATTCCATCATACAGGTCCTTTGTGCAGCTTGAGGTAGCTGTGCAGGTGGATGCAAATGGTGGAATTCGTTGCAATGCGGCTGAAATCGAGAGTAGGGCTTTGGGTGAGCCTTATTGTTACGGAGAATGGCATGGCAATGTCTGGGACTCGAATCCTCCGCCTGTTCCAAACCCATACACTGAAGTAGCTTTGTTTTCGTACGCTATCACAAAGCATTTGCCAGTTTTGTTGCCAACTCGAGCTATTCGGCTGCCTAGCGGGCGGGACATAGTTATCCGACAACACCAGCGCCGAGAAGAAGAACGTATTGGGACAGGAGGAGTTCTGTGGGAAGCAGCTATTGTACTGGCCGACTTTGTCGGACGCAACACGCACAAGTTTGACTGGAAGGGCAAGCGCGTTCTAGAGCTGGGAGCCGGCACTGGTTTAGTTGCCATCTCGCTCGGCATTGAGGGTGCAGAAGTTTGTGCAACTGATGGCAATCCGAGAGTTTTAGATGGTGCCAAGGCAAATATAGAGGCAGCAAAGCCTTTCCAAGGTCGAGTGACTGTCGAGCAGTTTGACTGGAATTCTGCTCACGACCTAGCAAAGATCCAGGAAGCTGGGCCTTGGGATGCAATTGTAGGAAGTGATCTCGTGTATCCTGGCAATGCTGGCAGAAAGTGCGTGGATTCAAACCAGCAAATGCCGCTCGCAGATCAGACCCTGATGTCTCTTTTTTCCGCTCTTGCCACTACCGAAACCGTCATCCTGCTGGCTCTGAAAGACCGTACCGGTGAACTGCACCGCTTTAGAGAGAGCATTTCGCGATCTGGAGGTTGGACACTCCAGTATGCTCCACCGGACTGGATCATGCCTGAATTTCGTTCGGTACCGCAGGTGGCAGTGCTGCAACTCCAGCTGAGCAGCAGCTAAGCAGGAGCTGCAGCGTTTGATGTTGTACAGTACAGCTCGGGAAATGTTGGGGAAGTTCCTGCGCGTAGGCTTTGGTGATCATGATCACATTCGAGGGCCTCTGCTTTCGCATGCTTTTGCAAAACACAAAACTTTGAGCAACATCATCACAACAGAGGCTCGCTTCTCCTGAATAATTGCTTATGCGCAGAACTTTGGCTCATATTCTGACGTTAGCAGGCGAGTGAAGATGGGTTGACAGACTGGCCGTGCCCTGGATCCTGTAAGTTATGGTGGTCACGGCTGCTTGGCCTTGGTCTAACTTGCACTGACAGATTTTTAGTGGACATGCATAGATACCCTGTGGCTCATCCCGATGCATTGACTTCAGATGCCGTGCAAATGTTGTGTTTTTTCTTCGAGTAGGCACCCGAGTACATTGATATCCTGCGTATCTTCTGCGCAGGTTTTGATGGTAGCCGAAAAGCCTTCCATTGCCCAGACCTTGGCCGATGCTCTCTCTCCTGGTCACAAGTACACCACGCGAACAGGGGCTTCTCGCCAGAAAAAAGCAAAAACATGTCCATGCAGAGATTTGATTTGGTTTGATCGCACCTTTTACCCATCAACTGCTGTCTGTTATAGGTGTCACCAGCCTGCAAAGTCTTCGAGTACGAAGGAGATTTTTATGGACAGCGGGCTTGGTTCAAAGTTACCAGTTGTGCTGGTCAGACGCTTACTTGTTCGGACAATGTGTTTTCAGCAGATGGCACTGCTCTGGGTGAGCTGCTGACGGGACGGAGAACATATCTCAGGTCACGTGTATTCCATTGATTTCCCGCCGGAGTTCAACAACTGGGACAGAGTGGATCCCTTGACTCTTTTCGGCGCCCCAACTGTCAAAATGGAAGCAAATCCAAAGCTCAGGACCGAAAAGTGATATCATGGCAATGCCAGCTTTGATATGAGCATGTGCAATTTTCGACCCAATGCTGTTGAAGTGGAAATCCTACCTGAACTCCCCTGATTCGCAGAAATTCTGGCGCGGCTTTTGTTCAAGAAGTGCTGTCACCAGTACATTGCCTTAACAACTCTGCATGGTACGCAGGATGCCCAAGCACTTCCAGACGGAGGCTGGATGGAGCTTTGCAGTATGGATGTGGCATGTACAGCCAAGCCCAACCGTGCATCGCATTTGTAAGTCCGATTTGGTCTCGTTATTGTCTCTTGTCACGATTTCTTCACAGTCCGTAAGTACGAGAGAGAGATAGAGAAAGAGAGAAGTATCATCGACGGGGACGATGAGCCCGGATTTTTCAATCATCCATGCCGTTGTTTACAGTTACCCCAGGAGCGATGCGCCAAGTAGTCCCATACAGTCGCACCAAACCTGCACAAGGCCTCCAACTAGACTAATCCCCACTGGAGAGTAGTCACGAGTACATGCTGTCGTCTGAAGATTTGTGGCTGAAGCTTGAATGCAGGGCGCCTTAGACCTGGGCTTTTCAGTGCTGTCTAGAGTTCAGGGCCTTACTTGTCACGTGTACTGCGGCAGCGTTCTTGTGCCTGCTTTTGTGGCAGGCCTCTCCACCGGCCTTTTGATAGGTGCCTCCTTCACTGCGTGGCTTCTTTTGAGGCCTTTTTCTGAAAAGCTCCTGTCTGGGCGCTTCCATAGTGCCCCGTCACCTCCTCACAGGAGGACTCATCCACGCCTGGCCGGCTACTTGCATGAGTGACAGCGAGGTGGACATTACCTTTAGAATAGGTACCCTTAGTATTACGGTACGGGGCCCCCTGGATAGGTGTGTCCACGCTCAGCGCCGTGTTGTGGACTCTTGGGGCCAGACTCGCCACCGCCTCCTTCCTCTGCCCCTTCTGGATTTTCATTTGTGGACTTGCCTCCTGAGCCCGCTGCCTCGCAGCCTTCGGCCTCTTCATCTGGGGGTGCCGCTCCCCCTCCGACCAAGAGTCGGAGCAACGTTCTTGCTTCGTTTCCTCCTCTGCCTGATCGTTGGGCTTCTCTGTCAGGCCAGTTGCACGGGTCCCAAGTCCCTCCCACTCGCCTGTGCTTAAAATCCCTGCACAACACTACGTGGTCCTCAGGGCTCCGGGGGTTACCGAGCCAGCACTTGTATCATCATAAGGGCTTACTTTGACTTGGTCGGCAAGCCGTTCCACTCTTCATCTGTGTCCCACAGCTTCCCCTCTTTGTTGGAGGCCAGGGTCTACTGTGACGCTGCTGGGTTTGCCCTCCCACAGAGGCGATGAATCTTTCAGACGTGCCCGAGTTCTCGCTGAGCTCCCCCGCACAGCTTGTGCTAGGCTGGCCAGAAGAAGACGGCGGCCCTCCCGTGGTCGAGGCTACAGCTTTGTGTCTGCTAAAGCGAACAGGTGGACTTTTGCTTGCCGTGCCGGCCCATTTCTTCGACGAGGAGCTGTTGAGTGCCGCTCAGACGGCTCCTCCCGCAGAGCCCCTAGGGCCTTCCGAGGTCTTCGAGTGCAGTGCAGCCATTATAGACGAGGGCGGAGGAAGCGATCCTTTGCTAGATCTGAGTATGCCAAGCAGCTCTGCAGGCTCTGTGGCGCCATCGGCAGGGCAAAGCTGCAGAACGAGCTCGCGACAAAGAATGGGGTCTTCTTCACGAAAGTCACGCAGGCGGCGGCTCGCAGGATGGATCCAACCCAAGCGTGCGACCTGGAACCAGCAGGGCTCAAGAGCCAAGGTCTGTCAATGGCCAAATACGTGGAGCGTTTCGGAGGGTATGGGCAAGTGAGGAACATTGCTCTCATCCAGTGGCAAGTGTGTCTGGCCTTGGGCCAGGCTCTCTCCGGTCACATGGATGCCTGCCTCGACATCCTAGCCTTGCTTTGCGTGTGCCTAGAACAGGCCTCTCTCGACAATGGAAGCCTGGACATAGGCTACCTGATGACGCTTCAAGAGGAACCCCCATCGGCAAAAATGAGCAACCGAAGCATTATGTCGGTGGGGGGAAGGGCAAGGGCCTTCGCTCCTTTGGCGGATTAGAGGTGCATTGCTCAGAAGAGGTCCGATGCAGTCGCTACTCCCTCTCCAGCCCCAAAGCAGGCCGAGAAGGAGGGTGGATGGAAAAAGAGAAAGCCGAAGGCAAAAGGGAAGTGGCAAAAGAAGCAAGAGTAGTGGTGCTTTGCCTTTCTTCCCTTTTGGAAGTCTGAGCATAGCTTTCATTCCTCTGTTTCCGGTGCCGGTGGAAACTTTCATGAAAAGGCGCCTGATGCCACTTCCCTGTGTCACGCCTTGCCGCGCAAGAAGGTCGCCCTTTCCCCCAAGCCCCTAGGTTTTGGTTGGGATAGGGTTTGTAGTGGCCCCTACCCTAGTAAGGCCGGGGTCCAGCAGCCTGCTTGCCTTCCGTCTCCTGTGGCCTTGCGTGCTCCTCGACTGCCTGCCGAGCTGTGGCCTCCCCTAACCTTTAAGACCCTAGTTGGACTTTCTAATAAGGGAAGTAGGGGTCTTAGGAGTAGGCCCACCCGTGTGCAAAGGCCCAGCTCCTGTACTGTGACATCTTCTGGAGCCAAGTGTAGTGAGCCTGCCGGCTCCATGGCTTCATTTGTCTTGCCCGAGCAGCAGTGTGCTGCCCCTGAGGCGCAGGCGCCACCTAAAGGTTTAAAGGCTGCCTCTTGTGCTTTGCCAATGCCTGATGCATCCGTGTTGCGTGGATCAGTCGGGGAAGTTCCTGACTTCGACGGCTCCATGTCTTTTGCTGCATTTCTTGCCAGCATGCCTCGCCGCATTCTTGCCTGCCACACCAAGTTTTTGCATTTTCTGCATGCCACCTTCCATCTGCGCAGGAGCGGCGAGTCCGCTTCCTCATCCGCGCTTTTTCCACTCCCAGTGCCATTTCTGGGCATCTTCGAAGGGAGTGGCCCGAAGTTGTCGCTGAGACGTTGTAAAAGCCTGATGCTAAAAAGGGGGGTCCATGTCATTGCCATGTGCCTCAACTACGTCTTCTGTGGCAGGAAATGGATTCCTTCCACTGAGCTTCGGAGACCGCCTTCTTCTGCTCACGTTGCGACCTACGATCGCATCCGGCGGTTCCTCTGCGCGTGTGGCTCTTCTGCCCCCCAGGTCATCTCTTGCCCTGGGCGGCGGAGCCATGAATTGACTGCGTGTTTACGGAGTCTTTTCCATTTCGTGGACCGTGAGGGTGCTGCTGGGGGTCTAGCACACAAGCAGGGTGGCCCCTTGGGCAGTGTTCCTACAAAGGATAGGGATAGGCCTGAGTTGCAGCCCTACACCAACCTGTGTGCAGACCGTTTGAAGCTTTCAGGCGCTGCAAGTTTCTGGCCTCTGCCATACCTTCAGCCCAACCTTATCCTGCCTTTCCTGGAGCCTACGGTTCTGAGGTTTCAAGATCAGGAGCCTGACGCACCGCGTCCCAGCCAGTGCACCGACCATCCTCGCGAGCTGCTTGCTCTCTGCGGCAAGTGGGGTCAGAATGGACTTTTGGGTTTTCCGAGCCCCACGCCGAAGAGCGGAAGAAAGTGAGAGTGTTCAATGGTCGCAAGTCGGACCTGGTCGACCGGCAGATCGGGGACAGACGTTCCCTGAGTCAAATTGAGAGGTCGTTACCGGGGCCTTCCCGGGACCTCCCAATTGGGAGCCTGCTTTGCGGCGTAGTGATGGGGAGAAAGACGGTTTTGTGCGCCGCCCTGACTACAGGTGGGATTTCTACCACCAAATTATGATAACTCCTCAGCGTGCCGAGTCCAATGCTGTGGGGTTCCGCCTCCCCCGTGATGTGCACCTTCTAACGACAACGCAGCGGCTGGCCTACTCCTGCCCCAGACTGCTGGTCGTGAGACCGAGGGCGATGGCCTCCACCAAGCCGCCCAGAACGGTCCTGCTGCCCCTCGCCGCCGAAAGAACCAGCAGCCTCAGAGCCTCCAGCCAGTCTTCAAGAGTTCGTCCCAAGGAAACCATCGTGGAGTAGAACTTGCTACGTCTGCTCCTGAGAGGCTGCTTCCGGAGGCTGGACTCTTAAATGAGGAGACGAGACTTCTCAACAGGGCCCCTTGTCCTAGGGGCCCCGAGCTCCAAGGATTGGTGATCAACGACTTTTTCATCAGAGGCCAAGAGGAAGCCAAGTCCCTGCCGTCTCTTGAGTCAGCACCGCACTCTGTCGATACCATTGCAAGCAGAAGGCTCCAGACTGCGCTTGCGGCGTATGATCGTTTGGGAGTCAAGGGTTCGTCTGAGAAAGACGTTGTGAGTGCTACAAGATTCACTGTTGCCGGTGCTTCTGTGGATTCTTCTCGGCAATCCATTCGCAACCAGCTGGTGCCTGTTGCCTCGCCTGCTGACAAGAGGTGCGCGCTTGTGCTTGCCTCCCTGTCTGCTGCCCGTCTCTCCGTCTTCACCAGAGCTTTGCTGGAGCGCCTCGTCGGGGGCTGGGTGCGCTGTATGATGTTTCGCAGACCCACTGCTGTGTGTTTTGCCAAGGTTTACAAAGCCATCATGACCCTGAGGTCCAAGCTGCCGCTGAGGATGTTGCTTTCCCCCTTTCGCGAGGTGTCGCCGACGAGTTGGTCATCTGCAGCATCCTGCCAAGGGCGCTTTAGTGCGGACGGATCTTTCTTCTGAGGAAGCACTTCTTCTTTGCAGGATTGCTGAGCGCAAAGGAGGCTACTCGCGCCTCGACCCTGCCGCCCGTGCACTTCTGAAGGTCATGGGCGACCCTAATCTTGAAGAGCCCAGTACCTCCTCCGCCTCAGAAGAATCCGCCTCTGAGGTTCGACTTTGTTGAAGTTTGCGCTGGGGCAGGGAAGATTTCGCGCTATTGCACCGAACTCGGCTTGTCTTGCTGCCCGCCTCTCGATCTTGAGCACAGTGCGCAGTATGATTTGTCTAGTGCTGATATCATTCTGTGGCTGGTTGAGATGCTCCGAGAGGGGCGCCTTCGGAGTGTCTTCGTGTCCCCTCCACGCACCACCTTTTCGCCAGCTGCCTTCCCATCGCTTCGAAGCTACCAGGATCCTTGGGGTGACCACTCTCACCCAAGGGTCCGCGTCGGCGACATCTTGGCATTGCGTGCTTTGGCCCGTGTCTTTACTGCCAGGACTTACGGTAGAGCAGGGTGCGCAGAGCAGCCTCGGCGAT